AATCATGATTGTCATCACCAATATAAAGAATATCTAACTATAATGTAACCCAGAGCAAATATCATTATGTGGGTTGAAATACTATTTCTGATACAAGAATAAAAATGAGTTTATTCTACAATCTAAGAACACACATTAAAGTACCAGATAAGAAAAAAAAAAAAAAAAAGAGAGAAAAATAAAAGAAAGAGAAAATAAGAAAAAATATCTCATCTACTCAAAAAACCTACCTGCTATAAGGGTCCAGGTAGAATGACGAAAGGTATTCCCCATTAGCATCTGTCACTTGGAAAAACCGTACGTCTGGGTGCCAAGTGGAAACCTCTCCACTTGGGACTTCTTCGAAGGATATGCCAAAGAGCTCTGAACTGATCTCCAGAAGCTTCACCAGCACGTGCTCAAATGGAAAATATTCTTGGAGCTGAGCCTCATCAAAGCTAGTGCGACAAAATAAATTAATCAATAAATAAACCAATTCAACATGTAAAACAAGTAATAATGATTTTTTTTCATCACCTAAATTTTCATAAGGCACAATAAACTTTGGCATATTTCATTTTATTTCTCAGCAGTCTCATCACAGAGTAAGTACGTACTTGAATACATGACGCTTGTGCTTCCTTCTCCAGTATGGCACATCCCATGCCTCCAGTTTTCCTTCAAAACCTCTCTCCTCTGCAAACTCTTGCAGACTGGCTATTTCCTTGTCCTGAGCCTTCCGTGCTGTGAAAAAAGATCACCTTTAATCCTTAGGCTTACTCTGTTCTACTTGTTGAGAATGCCATCAGTTATCGTACAGGTTCATCTTAGCAAAATTTTGCCTTTCCCTGAAAGATGCTATCACGAGGATTTTGCAATAGAGTATTGGTATGTGGACTCAACCAGACAGAAAAAGTTTTGATTCCTTTCCAATCCATTCATGCAACTATAATGTCATTTTCTACTAACTAGTATTTATCCAGGATTTTGCAGGTATCAGCTGATGAAATGTAAATTTTTAAGACTCATACCAACTGCTTTTTAAGACCTGGAGCCACTTTTCACTGAAACCACATTCCTCCTTAGTGTTTAGGCCTACTTGTCACAGATTTTTTAAGATGTGCAGGAACCCTGTTATCATTATACTTTACAAAAATACACCTAAAAAGAGTGAAAAAGTCTAATAAAATAAACCACAACAGTTCTCACCTTTAGCTAACAAGCTGGTAATCATTGACATCACATTCTCTACACTTCCTGCCATCTTGGTCTCCATGGACATCTGAGCAAAGTTTTCATACCCTAAAATCTTAGCTTGTTCACTCCTAGAAGTGGAAAGGAGTATTAGAAAAGGAATGACAGCTGTTTTCCACTATGAACAAATCACTGTATGAGTGTACAGTATTCAGCTTCAGCTATGCCTTCTGAAGTTATACATCCAGTGATACAAACGAATATTCAACAGCAGCTATTTGAACGTGCAAGCTCATTAACTTCTGAATACCTTAATGATCGAATTTCTTCCAGATGAAGGCTGTTGTTTACATCTTTACTTATATGATTTGATGCCCTCATGTTGAATGCCCTGTATGTGTTACGCCGTAGATCAGTTAGCGGGCAATGCTCCAAAAAGCTGTCATAAACATGAGGATGAAGAACAATATCCCATGGCCCCTGGTGATATCGTGACCTGTTAATGAAAACATCATTTTAAAGACTTGGTTATAAAGAACCGCAATAGTATGGCTTGCATATGGAAAAGCTATGGCTCACTTTCCGGCACTACTGAAATTAAGCATTCACCTGACTCACCTGGTAACTGCCATGTTCTTCAGGAGATCAACTGGGAATTCTCTGACGAGACTTGAATCAGTGATCCTATATGAGAACCTATTTGTTGACTCCTGCAAGGGAAGGAAAAGATTTGAAGAATACTATCAAACATGGTGGAGGGAAGTGATGATAATAATGGGGACTTGACGGAAATAATTAAAAGGAAGTTATAAAAATATAACGAAAAGGATGCTGATAATGAAAAAAAAAAACTAAAAATATAGAAAAATGTATAATTCCAAATGAGTCATAAAAAATTCTGCAACAAGAATTTATTTTTTCATTTTCATATGGGGATCATATTCAATCTGTAATCAAAACACAAATGAACAATTCAGGTTATACTCACAGCAACTTTTTTCCTAAATTCATTTTTTTGATCTTCTAGTTTCTTGAGCGTCTCTGCAAACAAGGGGGTTTTCTCAGCTGGTAATTCAATCCCATTCAATCGCGCCTCAAGAAGAAATTTACGCACAACGCGTCTCTGTGCCTCGTCTAGATTTGAGTCATTTACATAAATGTCCTGCGAACAAGGGAAAAAAAAAATATCATAACCATACCTGATATCCATGGGGTTGAATAATGCCTTTTAAAAATAACACAGAAAATCAACATTTATTTAACCTTTTCTATATTCGATTTCTTTGAATATGACTTTTGAATTATTTCTCAATGAAAATGTATAAATCTCTATTGTAAGCAATTTATACACTGTGTATATATATATGTATATGTGTAACTGCATGTGTGTGAGTGCATGTGCATAAGTGAGTGAGTGAGAGTGAGAGTGAGAGTGAGAGTGAGAGTGAGAGTGAGAGTGAGAGTGAGAGTGAGAGTGAGAGTGAGAGTGAGAGCGAGAGCGAGAGCGAATGCGAGTGAGCATATGCGTGTGCGTTTGTAGGTAAGTGTGAGTATGAGTGTGAGTGTGTGTGAATGCGTGTATGCGTGCGTGCCTATCTATACTCATTTACTTATCTATAGTTATATACACATATATAACAACACCTGAACAAAAACATAACAACAATAACAATCTAACTCACCTTACAAGCCTCATAGATGGGAAGGCTCTGGAATTTATGCACTCTAGCCTTACGTGCTCGTTCGTGAATTTTCAAGTACGTATTGGTGTTCATCTCATTATTCTTGACGGTGTACAAGGTCTTCACAGTGCTCCATGCCGTATTCAGAGGAGACTCCAGTTTGTCCAACTCTTCTACTATGTTCTTAAATGTTTTAGGTTCTTTCATTTCTGGCAGAAAGAAGCAAAGTCATAATCATAACTAGTAATTAGTTCCTGCAATCACTTGTATTCAAAATCTGTAAATATCATACATGTTACCTACTTTTGGCTTTCTCTTCCACTGCCCAAACTCCAGATTCATACTCCAGTGCCAGCTTGCCAATGCCTGTCCAGCATTTCTCTGGAGTGAGTTGTTCGAATTGTGGCAGGTCCTCTGTACGAAGGAGGGCATTGTCCTCGGCTGTGTCTACAGGGGTTTCTGGAAGCCTGTTAACAATGAATTCAGTTATTTAATATGAAAAAATTGAATATTCAAAGAATGATGCATGTTTATATCTACACAATTTAAATTTGTTGAGAGATTTGTCTAAATCATATGAAATAAACAGTGCATAAACAATTCAAAATTATTCCCTTTGTAAGAACACATTGTTCAGAATACCTACACACACCCAATCATAACCACACTGGCACTAGTGGATTAGTCTCACCCTCATCTGCTCATATTTGTAGGAATTATGCCACAGTAACTCCCCCACTCCCCTAAAAATTGGTTTCTATAGTAGGGGTGAGAATGAAGGTTACCAAGGAAACTGTAGGGTAAATCATAATTAATGAGCTATATTGAATATACATATGATGAGGGTCAATATGATATCTAATACTGGGAGCACAACTCCCTGCAACTCTCCTGGCAGGGGCTGTCACCCCCAACCCCTATCCTGAAAAACAAAGAATTCTCATCATATTCATGGAAGTAAAGAGGCTCTTAACTATCATGCTGGGTTAAATACTGAGAAAAATTAGCTGTACAACCCATATGATTTTATGCTGAGGGATGCAGCCCCTTCATGACCCTTCCCCTTGAGGGAGCTACCACACCCAGACCCCACCCTGAACACAATCCTCCTGCAATATAAAACTTTGTCCAAGATTTAACTCCCTGTGATTGATCATATGATCCACCATGCTATATATAAATAGCAGATTCTTTGACTTACAAGATGGGGACTGGAGGAAACAGCCATCCCTGCAGTGGGTAATAGGGGGTGCAGCCCTGTGCATTAGAAGATTTTGACACCCAAATCTTGTATGTCTCTCTATCTAATCCTGCAATATCCCTGATAAAGTTCATGCCCTCCCCTACCACTGGGAAATAAGTTTGTGTGGTATGGGGGGGTTTGCATGGTATAAATCCTACATATATGTGTAGTAGACAAGTCCATCAATATCAGTATGGTTGCAAAGCAGTAAGCAGAGCACTGTGAATGTTTTCTATACAAACACACCACAACCCTAGTAAACATAATACTATAATTCACTCCCCGGTATTTGTTAATTACTAAAAGTTTTTTCAAGGTAAGATGGTAGTTTCAGTGAATCGATATAGAGAATATAGTAATACCTGTGAAGAAAACTTTGGTTATTTCAGTTCTCAATCAGACTATAAGGCACACCGTAACACACTGCCCAGTAAATACTCGTATAAACATAACTATTACCTGTAAATGATATAACAAATTCTAAAAAACACCTTATCTATACTTCATAAATCTTCCTTTTCTACACATTGATAATGATAATGACGCAAATCTAACAATACTTCAACTACAGAACTCTCCCTTACAAGACTACATAGGTGGTTTTAGGCCTGTATTTGATTGCAGTGGGATAAAATAGGCGAAAATTCCTTCGTACAAGGGCGCCGGCCATGGCTTTCTGTTTACACTTTACGTAAGGAAAGGAGGCTCGCAATGCGCATGACACATTACACAACCGATATTATGTAAATATGGTCTTATGCTACACCATAATCAACTTAATAATCCCTAAGAAATATTCATGAGATGAGGATGATTAAGAAAACATTTGTAAATATAGTTATTGGACAGTTTTCTTAATGGAGTTGATATTTTCGCCTCCAGATGGCAGCAGTGTTTGTTTACATTCGTAGGCCAGGCACGTGGAGAACTTGTTCGTGTCCTTCGTATGTGTATCTATTTGCCGGTGTAAATTGAGTGATTGTGGTGTTCCATTGTTGTGAATTGGTTGGATACTTGATTTTTTAGTCAAGATGGGGAAGCTGAAGGTGGCGATGCTGAGGTATCTCATGAGGGATGACTTCCGAATACTGACAGCAGTAAGTGAAACTCCATTTGTTAAAAGGAAATTCTCTACATGTATGTGTACCTTTTAGCCCTAATTATATTTAGATATTCACTCATCTATCACTCATTCTCACATTCTTCGCTTGACTGTCGCAGATGAATAACCGTTTTAGTGTTGCGATTATGGTGTTTGTGGTCTGAAGAAAAAGTCTTGACTCCACCCATTTGAAAGGTTGAAGATAAAACTTTCGGATATGACAATTGGGCTTTTAAGAGACAGTATTTATATCCTCAAGTAACCACTCCATACACTATTTACCTTAGAAGCACAGTTGTCATCCATTAAAACCACACCAGATTGAAACCCAAATTATGCACAGAAGTAGCCTACTTCATCTATGAAGTCTCAGATGTAACATTTCTGAGTAATGTATTGTTATCGTGATTGTTCAGTGATGGCTCTATATGAACATTCAGAAATTATAAGAAATTACTTTTGGTGTGTTTTAAATATGCAATATTCAGTTGTTCTTTTTTTTATTCCCTTTCCAGATTGAAATGGGCATGAAGAACCATGAACTTGTGCCCATCACTCTGGTCACACAGATTGCCAACCTGCGAGGTGGTGGTGTGCACAGGATGCTTAGGGAACTCTGCAAGCATCGCCTTTGTGCATATGAGCGAGGAAAACACTGTAAGTGAGATGTAACTAATCTGGCTGTATTTGTCGTATGAGAAGTTTATTATTATTATTCCCTAGTTGTAATAAGTTGTAGAGCATTAAATTTTTTAAGGATCATTACAAACACAGGTGAATATATATGTAAAAGTTAAGATTAATTACATTTTCATCTTCATAAGATTTGTAAAACAAATAGGTCATTACTCAATAAGATTAATTTTCTTAGTCATCAGAATCTTTATGATTTATGTTAGATGATACAAAATTGTTCTATTTTCAGATGATGGCTACAGATTGACAAACATGGGTTATGACTACTTGGCCCTGAAAGTGCTTTCTTCCCGAGAAGTCTTAGGCTCTGTAGGCAGCCAGATTGGTGTTGGGAAAGAATCGGATATTTATGTCACGAGTGACCCGGTTGGAAATCCATTGTGCATGAAGCTACATAGGTAAGAAGGGAGGGGCACTAGGAAGAGGGAGGACATGGCAGAAGGTCAGACTGGAAATGGATAGAATAGCAGGATTCATTTTAATTGTCTGTTTCAAGTGATTCACTGTAATATAGTTTACCACTTGTTAGATTTGAGTCTAAAATGATAATGATATTTATTTTCATTCTTACCTTACTCACCTACTATCTTAATATCTTGTGGGAAGAGATGCTGTCCGTCATTGCAGATATTGATGTAAAAGTAAAAAAAAATTTGCCAAAGACTTGGTGGATAGGTTATGAGGGTAGTGGCATGCTGTTAGATGTTGATAAACATTATGCACATAAAGCAGTGGTAGGCTAATGATATTTCTTCCCCAAAATAAGTCAAGTAGCAATATGAAACATATTCTTAATACCCACACACTCAGCACATGACCTTTCACCATTTCAACTTTGGTAAATCTCTCTTTTTTCCAGGCTCGGGAGAACTTCTTTCCGCAAGCTGAAGGAAAAGCGTGATTATCATCATCACAGGAATAAGGCCTCTTGGATCTACCTGTCTAGGCTGTCAGCCACCAAAGAGTTTGCTTACATGAAGGCCCTCTATGACCGAGGGTTCCCAGTACCAAAGCCAGTGGATTGCAATAGACACTGTGTGATTATGGAGCTTGTGAATGGTTATCCACTGTAAGTAGATCTTTCTGCGGCCCATTAGACATATATGCATGGTGTCTGACTAGCAATAATCTTAATCCCCAAAAATGTTTAGATCAGTTTTTTTCTTTAAAGCATGACATACAAGTCTTCCATTCAGCATAATTCATATCAGTTCAAATCTCAAATCATAAAAACTACACTTTTTCTCCAGGTGCAACGTGCATGATGTGGCAGACGTCCCACAGCTCTATAGCGATCTAATGGACCTAATCGTGAAGCTGGCCAGCCATGGTGTCATTCACAGCGATTTCAACGAGTTCAACATCATGGTGAACGATGATGACAAGCCTGTGATTATTGATTTCCCCCAAATGGTGTCAACTGACCACGAAAATGCCAAGATGTAAGTGCCCCCTTCAGTTTTTGGATATATGAATGGGAGAATACTACATGACCTTTGATTTAGAAATAAGAAAAGGAATGAAATGATTAATTTGGTTATATATGACTTTCGTTTCATATCATACATCTTTTGCTGTATTGTTATATGTAGCATATGTTTTTGATAGTCTTCCCAATGACTAAAAAGTTATGGAAACATATTGTATCATGATGTTTCATAACTATGATTTAGAATCTACCAGTATCATAAAATGTTATATGGTACTGGTACTGGAGGAACTTTAGTATAGATATCCCACAAGTATTATGTATTTTTTTATACTACTTGGGACATATCCCCGGAGAGGAAATAATGATAAAGGATGACATACCAGAAATTGTAGATGAAGGCATTATAAGAAAGAGTATTATTATATATCACTTTATATTAATTTTCAGAGAAAAGAAGAGAATTACACCAGATATATGTATAATACAAAGTTAGCAAAAAAGTAAAAAACAAAGGCAAAATTTAAGTATTATATTACAACCTGTGAATTCTCTCATTAATCCACATGAAAATTAAACATACAATTTTTTGATAATTAATATAAATAATCATGAATCATTTTAAGATGTAAAAAAAATTCAAGTAAATTATCAAAAAATAGTTTCCATTTAAGTTTCGAATTGATAGATGCAAGTTTATTCTTTTCTTTTCTTTTTTTATTGATGGCACATTATGCAGACATGAAGTAGTAGGAAAATGTATCTTGTTAGGCACAGAATTTAAGTGTTTCAGACATTAATAATGGCGCTGATTATTTTCTTGTGTTTTCCTTTGAGTGCCATTACTCAGTTCAAATTTTCACATTCTCTTTTCTTTTATTGTGCAGGTATTTTGACCGTGATGTGAACTGTGTGCGTGAATTTTTCAAGAGAAGATTTGGCTACGAGAGCGAGCTGTATCCTGACTTTGATGGAGATGTTGTGTAAGTAGACAAAATATCTGTGTAGCTGCTAGTACCAGTACCAACATGTATGCATTGATCAATGAAAAATATTTTGAGTTCGGAATCCATGGTCAAAGATCAGTATCTAGAATTATCATTAAGAATATTATTGTATGGTGCCCAGTTCAGTGTCTCCAACTATTTTAAGTTTTGGAGAAGCATATTTCTTTAACCAGTTTGGAAAATATAATAAATTTTACCCTGTTATATTCTAATCCAATCTGTATCCATGTTGTCAAAGTTTTGTTAATAAGTTCTTTTTTTCTGACCAACAGGAGGGAAGGTAATCTAGATAAAGAGGTGTCTGTCAGTGGATTTTCAAAAGAAATTCAAGAGTTCAATGAACATTTCAAAGTTGGGGAAGATTTTGACACAAAAGACGAAGACAACTACAGCAGTGATGAGGATGAAGAAGAAGAAGAAGATGCCAAAAATGATGAAGATGAAAGTGGCAATGAAGGAGAGATCCCATGCCCTGAAGAAGACGAAACCACCAAAGAGCAGGACCAGACTGAGACTACAGGCCTTAAGAAAGAGGAACTTGTTAGGTTGCAGGATGAGATGGAGACATTGTGTAAGGAGCTAAATATAGAGAAAAATTTAGAAAATGATGAAAGTGAAGAGCTAAATAAGGACACAAAAAAAGAGGAAGAAGTTGAAGAGACTCCATCAGAAGTAAGCGAGAGACACTCCAGAAGAAAGAAGGGGAAGGATGCAGACCGAGATGCAAGGCTGCTCTTCATAAAGCAGTTGGCCAAAGCCAGAGAGTTGCGTCAGCACTGTGAAGAAAATGGAGAAGAAGCCCCACCACTTGAAGACATGATAGACGACTCAATGAGTGACATACACAGTGTCCGCAGCTTTTCAACAACAGCAAGCACCATAGAGCCAGAGGAGATTAAACGGCGACTGCAAAAGGATCTTACAAGACGGGAGAAGAAGCAGGTTTCCAAAAAGAATTTGAGGGTGAAGGGGGAAGCAAATGCATACAGGAGATCTAAACTGGCAAATGCAGCCACAATCAAAGAATCAGTGGGATGGGATGAGTATTAAATGAATTATAGATATAAAATAAACTATACTGTCCATCATCTTGTTTCAAAATCAAGAAAAAAAAATCAAGGCGTAAGATCAGAAGGTACCCATTTACATTATAAAATTATTACCTTTCTAGTTGCCATTATTTATATCGATATAAATGCCTGCCAGTAGTCACTATGCAGTTAATATTGGCCTCTATTAATAATCTGTTGAAGTTCTCAAAACAATAGATGACCATTCTCAGTAATTATTTCAACGCAAGTTAACCTTTCACTGCTACAGTGTTTTTTAATTCAGTGGTATTTCATATACAATATTATTCCCTTCATCTGTCCTACCTTCTTTTGATTTTAGCACATTGTGTTTTCTGTTCTACATACTTCTCTTTTTATCTTTTTTTTTTTTTTCTTATATACACAGTAATAGGAAAATATCATCAGAAAACTCTTCTTAACAAACTTTATTTTGAACAATACATAACAGAACAGAGCTGCACCAATGTAAATAAAAGAGGGAATAAGTATGACTATCAGAGGCTCATGACTACCAAGATTTCTCTTCAAATGAAAAGAGTATCTCTGAAAATTGTATTCAAAATTTAAACATGACACAACAAGAATGTCAAAAGAGAAAGAAAAAAGGCACCAGTTCTCTCTCTCTCTCTCCCACTAAGATTCTTCCAATTACCAGCCCTTCATTCGCAGGAGATCATGACCTTGACGGCTCCACCCGCTCCCGTGCGAGCAGTCTCAAAGGCCTTGAGGGTTTCTTCCAATTTGAAGCGATGAGTAATGAGAGGCTTCACATTGACCTTGCCTGATGCTATCATATCCAATGCCAAAGGATAGCTGGGGAAAAACAAAAACTTAATAGTAATGATAATTACATTACTAATTCCAATTCATAGTTTACTGCTGTACCTTAGATTTTTCCTTATTCATTCATTTAATTTTCTTCATTTGTTTATAAAGCAATCATCCATTCTGTTCTCGCATCTTTTTGAGGCTTATCAGTAACTGACATGAGTAAGCACCACAGGTTTACTTCTTTCTTATTGAATAAAAAGATAGACATGCAGAAAAAGAAAGAAAAAAATCAGTCAAACACACATTTACCTTGTCAATAAAACAAAAAAGCAGTGAAGGTAAATGACCTTCAATTTCTACTTCAAAACTTTCAAAATGTCAAAGCACACACCAGTTAGCATAGCGGAAGATGCCTCTGATGTCCACCTCTCGCACAGCAGCATTGACGATTGGGATCTTCACCTCTGATGGACCCAAGCCAACAAGAACCATCATGCCCCCAGACTTTGTAGCCTGTAATGGGAGATCAAGGTTGAATTTCCATTAAAATGTCACTTGATTACAGAAAGAGAAAGGCTTACAATCTCTGAAAAACACAATGAAGCTCCTTATTTCATATATCCGTATTCACGACACCCAACAAATAATATTGACATTAATGCTACATTTTCACCCCCCCCCCCTTCCTCCCTGCAACTTGGTACTTACAAAAATTCCAAGGCGAATGCTAGACTCGGCACCACTGCACTCGATGGTGATGTCTGGCATCCCACCCATCACCTTCTCAACCTCCTTGGCAATAGCTTCAGCATCTCCTGAACTCACAAGGATGGTGTGGTCTGCCCCCATATCCTTGGCTACCTTCAGTCTGTTCTCAGCAATGTCTGAAAGCAAGAGACGATAGGAAATTTTACAAACATTCGTAACAAGTAATACCCTTTAAACAATGAAGTGGTATGCCAGGTCAATCCTACTTTAATTTCAAAACAATCACTCAACCTACTACCCATTTTCACACACTACTGAAGCTTGTAATTGTTCCAAAAATTCCATCATCCACACCATCTATAATAAGCAGCTTCCTCATGGCCTCTTAATTTACTCTCATCAAAAGCCCTTTCTAGATTCGTGAATGTCAAAGTAGACTTGTGTGTTCATATTCAATAATTTTTTTAAAAAGTCAAACATGGTCATAGTAGTAAAACAATCACAATACAAATGATATAACAATTAATCAACAAGACAATTTTGAGTACTTAAACCTAATAAAATCAAAGAACCAGCAATACCTGTAATGCAAACCTTAGTAGCTCCCATAGCCTTTGCAGTGAGCAAGTTGACCAGGCCAATGGGTCCAGCTCCACACACCAATACTGTGGAACCCAGGGTGACACCTGCACGTCTGCAAGCATGAACTCCTACACTTAGGGGTTCCAAGATGGCTCCTTCCTCAAGGGTTACATGATCTGGAAGCCTGGAAGGAGGGTAGAAGAGGAGAGGGAACAGGAGTGGTAGCAGAAGTAAAGGAAAGAGGGAGAGAAAATAAAAAAACATTAGTTGAAAAAAAGCGACAAAATGGAATGGGTGACAGATTTTTTTTTACATCATGCTCCTATATGCTTAAAAAAGAAAGTGAAGCTAATTCAGGCCAAAGTTTTGCAAGTGACCATATACTATCCATATAGTCATTTCACACAGCTACTTCATCCATGCCATGTACAGGAAAGACACAAATAAGAAATAAAAGAATTAAAAAATTACTTGAAACAAAAATCTGCTGCATGTTTGTAGTAGCGACACAGATTCCCATGGTAAGGGGGTGTGGCACAGAAGACAACATCAGGACACAGGTTGTATGTGCCGCCTTTACAATAGTCGCACATGCGACACGGCACGCCTGGTTCAATGGCAACTCGATCACCTGGAGTAGACAGAAGACACATGTTAACTCTGAGCCACCGAGATCAAGCTGATTCTTATTATATTCATATGGCTTGACCCTTCACATTCCTCTGATGTAAACAACATCTGACCAGCATGACATATCAACTGGGTTTCACCAATGCTTTTCAGCTTTTTTATATCCCATATACTATGCTAAAGTTTAACATATCAGCTTCTAAAAATAGACAATAATAATGCATCATTAAAATTTTACAATAACTATTTAAAGTGAATTATTGCAATGAAAGCTGTAGATGTGAGGTCCCCATGGCACATCCATATATGGCAAGTGTCCTAAACCTTAAAGGGCTAAAGCCTCAATAAAATAGAAAATAATTACAATACAAAACTAAAACACTAAAAACAGTATAATAATATTTAATAATAATAATAATATTAAATAAATAAATAATAATAATAACAATAACAATAACAATAATAATAATAATAACAACAACAACAACAACAAAACAACAACAACAACAACAATAACAATAATAACAATAATAACAATAAATAACAATAACAATAATAATAATAATAATAATAATAATATAATAATAATAATAATAATAATAATAATAATAATAATAATAATAATAATAATAATAATAATAACAATAATATAAATAATGCTCCAACAATACAAACTCATAACAAACTCGAACCTACCAGGCTTCAGGTGTTTCACATTCTTCCCACATTTAGCCACAACACCCGCAGACTCATGGCCCAAGATCATGGGGGCCTTGACAATGAAGTCCCCGATGCTTCCTCGGACCAGGTAAGACACATCGGAGCCACAGATGCCGACCTGAGCCATACGCAGAAGCACCTCTGAAATGTTAAAGACGTGTTTAAGGGAAGCCTAAATGAGCTCTATTTCATTTTAATATAGTCTAAATTACTATATATCTATATATATTTATACACATATATATTTATTTATATGTGTGTGTGTGTGTGTGTGTGTGTTGTGTGTGTGTGTGTGTGTGTGTGTGTGTGTGTGTGTGTGTGTGTGTGTGTGTGTGTGTGTGTGTGTGTGTGTGTGTGTGCACATGCATGTGTGTTTTTACATGCATGATATGCATATAGGTGTTTTTATATATGTATGTAGGTATTTTTATATATGTATGTAGGTGTTTTTATATATGTATGTATGTATGTATGTATGTATGTATGTATGTATGTATGTATGTATGTATGTATGTATGTATGCTGTATGCATGAACATAAACCTGGATATATGACATATCTAAGTATGTATATTTTTTGTTTGCATGTATGGAAGGATGTATATTTATATCTGTCTGTCTGTCTGTCTGAATGTATTTAAATATATCAATATCTCTATTAACATCATCATTTACATCTATACAACTATAATGCACAACATAATCTTACCATCAGGCCCGATTTCAGGTATTGGTGTTTGTTCCTGAAAATTGAGGTAATAATTAAAATATCATTTATTTCACATCATAGCAAAATATGCAGCTTAGAATAATCATGATTGATTATTGATCATGATAATAACAAAGATATAATAACATGACAAATAGTAATAATAATAATAATAATAATAATAATAATAATAATAATAATAATAATAATAATAATAATAATAATAATAACAATAATAATAATAATTATGATAATGATGATAATGATAACTAATGATGGTGATGATTGAAACTACCCACTATCTATTATGTCTTACCATGAAATCTAGTAATGAACTTCGAAAATTTATCTTATGACCCAAATAACTGTCCATGAAACTCGACCCTTACCAGGCAAAGACAGTGGTTAATTTGAAGTGATATGCATTCTAATATACATTAATCAGTGCAAGACAGGGATAATGCTGCAATATGTGTATCCACAATAGCACAAGCAATCACACCGACCAAGGCCAACGCATACCACCATCAAGCATACAGCTGGTAGACCTCCCTGACGTCTTAACAGTGAAATACGAGACCAGCCTTACCTAGAAATTGACAGTACATGGTAAATATTTGGTAGAGATTTGATGGCTTCTGTCGGAGCGTGATGTATGAAGGTCACGCCGATTGCCTGATTATCACCAAACATGAAACCCATTACATTTATAAACCGAAGTACTACAAGTTACCCCAAGTTACACCCATCTCCATTTCCTTCTCATACTCCATTATAAAACGCTGTCAACGCATCGAACGCCACTTACTTCATTCTACTTGAACAGACAAACCCAAACTCACTGTGTAAACAAACAACTTACTAATCGCAAGTCATTTTTGCCATAAAGAACAGCG